TGAGCCAACTATAATCTTTGCTTGTTAAGACATAAGAGCAAAGTTTTTGTATTGAAATCATTTCTACTCCTCGCCTTGAATTGGGGCAGTCTGATTGTGGAGTTCTCTTGAATCCTAGTTGTTAGAAATAAAACAGGCTCCTCCCTCCCTTCCTTCCTTCCTTCTTCCCTCTCTTCTTTTCTTTCTATTCTCCGTTTTTCCTCCATTTATATTCCTTTCTCCTAAATAGCATGTTATGTTCCTTTACTTAAAAAAAAAAAAAAAAGTTGTTTTGTAAATTCTACCTCCAAAGCCTGGAAAATAATCTGTCACTCTTTATTGCACAATATTTGCAAGTAAAGTGTCTATAGAAGGCAGCTCATGGAGGTGTTTTTTTAATCGCACATTGTCACTCAGCATTTTAATGTTCCTGTGTCAATCTGAGTCTCCATAATGACTGTATTTGAAAATATGTTAGGGTGTTTCCATTTTTTTAAATAATAATAGGCGATGTTTTTTTCCATTGAATACTCTCTTGTTTACTGTGCTTTCTTCAGCCTCGAACCTCTACATTTGTCTCCTTCCTACCTCTAAACTACAGTTATCCCGCCTTGAGGAGTCCATGCACAGTGGTTGTCATTTCCGGAACTCTGGGGGCTGGACGAGCGGCATGTTGGTTTGCGAGCACACCTGAGAAGTTGTAGGTGCTAAGAAGAGACCCCAGGACTGCAGGGTCGCACAGCGGAGGGCGGCGGGGCGGCAGGGCTGCCCGCGCGGGGCGGGGCGGGGCGGGGCGGGGCGGGCTTGGGTTACGGGCCTGGCGCCCGGTGCGGCACCTCCACTGGCAGGCGCCTCCTCCGAGAGCCGCGCAGGGAGGCAGCGGCGCAGGCTTGAGACGGCAGCGGCTCGGAGCGCGGCGGGGCGGCGGCTCGGCCCAAGGCAGCGCCCGGCAGCGCCGGCCGGTGAGTGCGCGCGGGACGCCGCGGGGTCCGGACGTCGAGGGGCGGCCTCGGCGCGGGGCGGGCGGCGCGGCGCGGGTGGGGCGCTGACAGCCAGGCCCGCAGGCCGACCCCGGCGGGGGCTCTCGGTGTCGCCGCTTTTCTGGACGGTTCTGCCTCCACTCAGGCTCTCTCTCGTTCTCATTCTTTCCTACAAATAATGGCCAACCAACTTGACTTGCCCGCACCTGCACCGTCTCTAAACCGAACAGAATAAAGTCTCGGAAGTGCTGTCCTTTGCAAACCTCCCCTACACCCTCCGCAGCCGCGGCAGCACAGGTGTTTTGTCTTGTTTTGTTACCAGACCTTTGCAACCAGGCGGTTTTACAGTCGTTTGCATCTTTACCAAACGTTTGAATCCCGTTTACAGCTTTGTTTGCCTAACTTCTCAAGCGCCTTGACCGTGCTCCCAAACGCCCTCATCCTAGCCCTGCTGTGGCCACCATCAGGACGCCTTCTTAGTTTTGGCCTGTTTGTATCCCGATTTTCTGAAACAAAACAAAACAAAAACTGAGTATTTGTTTCGCCCTTTCCCGGAGACCGGGAGCTGCCTCCAGTCGCGCCAGGGTGGGTCTGCCCGCTTTTGCCAGTCGGGGGGGAAAGGGGGTGCCCAGCGTCCGGGCAAAGCCTGAACCTCGGGTCTCGGGCACCTCGGGTCACCAAGGCGTTGCTAGGAGCCTGCCTGCCCCTAAACCTGGGAGTAGCGACCTCCTGCCAGAAACCCTTCTCCCTCCTAACCCCTTACCGCGGTACGCGTTGTACCACAATTGCGGTTCTGATGTTCTGGGTGCTGGAAGCTCCTGGCTTATGCTTAGTAAACACGGTTGACAGGAAATCAGTTTCCTGGTACTGCGGGTCACTCTGAGTGCGCCCTCCCGGGCGGCCCAGCGACGAGGCGCGGAGGCCGCTCCCGTGGACAGCGGGCGCGGTGGCAGCCGCAGCAAAGGGCAGTGAAGAAGGCAGCCGGAGGGGCGGGGAGGCTTTTTCTATGTGATGACTACTGTGTTATCAGCCCGGGGTCTAGAAATTTAAAAATCAAATGGAAACTTTTATAATAACAAAAATGGCTATTTGGGGCAGGGGACTGAAATTCAGCTTTTTCTTACCTGAAAACTGGGAACACTGTGCATTAGATATAAATGTATAATTTAAGGCAAGCTTGGAAATAGAGGGGAATCTCAAGTATGTGATGGGAAGTACAATTAACCTTTGAACAACACTCGTTTGAATTGCGCAGGTCCACTTACGCAGGGGTTGGGTTTTTTAGTTTTTGTGTTGGGGGTTTGGGGGGTGGTTCCAATAAATATATACTGTACTGTAAGTGTATTTTCTCTTTCTTGTGATGTTCTTTATAAAATTTTCTTTTCTCTAGCTTTATTGTAAGAATACAGTATATAATGCATATAACATACAAAATGTGTTAATCAATTATGTTATTGGTAAGGCTTTCTGTTAATAGTAAGCTATTAGTAGTTAAGTTTGGGAGAGTCAAAGTTATACTTACATCATTGACTGCATGGGGGTCAGCAACCCTAACCCCTGCAGTGTTCATGAGTCAACTATATAAGTCTTTTTGAAATAAAGTTTGAAGTAGATTTTTGCTAGGCAACCCTAATTACTCTAGTATTTCTTTGTCACAGAAGACTTTCAGGCAGGGGTCAGGAGGCTGGAGACAGAAATTCAAACTAATTTGCATTAGAAAGAAACTTAGGGTGAAGAATTCCTAGGTAAGGTTGCTGTGGCTGATATCTTAAGTGCACTGCTGGAAAGCCTACTGGTCTATTAGGTAACACCTGAAGCCCCAATGCTGTTACGTAGCATTTCTTTTTTTCTCTCTTTAACTACCCTGAAACTATACAGAGTTACACGTTCCTCATTAATTTATGAGCGATACCCAAAGAATTGACTCAATCCAACAAGTATTTGACCGCCTTCCTTCCTTGTATGAGGCACTTTTCTAAGAACTGCAGAAGAATGGAAAATGGAGGAATTTTCCAATTGAAACAACAGCAACTATAGTGGACTAGTTTGTGAGCTTTGCACTGCCCATTCAATTTAAAATAAAAAACAGCTGAGCTTTCATTTCATTCTAAATGCCAAGTGTGTCCTCTGCTATCTCAATCATTTTGTAATTTTTCTACCATTGCAGGTAGTCTGCATGTTAGTAATTCCAAAGTTAAAGTTTTTCTAGGAAATAACTAAGTAAGAAGATATGTCTATTTTTCCTATCATTTGCATTACCATTGAGTTAATAAAGTCCAAATCAACAAGAAAAAAATGAGATGATGATTTTCCTTTGGTCTCAAGCTAGTAAAATATTGCAAAAAAAAGACAAAGTCAGCATGGATAAATTTAATCTTCTGGTGCTTTCCAAACTATGTTTTAGTAAGTCCATCCTATCAGAGGATAAACGCAATTTCATGAAATCTCCCAATACTTTTTTTCTTTTGGAGGATAGTTCCAGAGGCCAATTTCATAAAATCTTTCATTGTGGATACCAACAGCACCAATGTTACTATCTTCTCCCCAGCTTCACCCTTAAATTCTAGGGAGCTTTTGGGAGGGGACGGGGATTTTATCACCAGAAAAAAAATGCACAGCCATTCAAAATGTTGCATATCTTTCAGAGGATTCCTGGTGCCCAGGAATTAGACGTCACTTTAGAACAAGGGCAGTGAATTAGTAGTCAGAGGGTTGGTAAGTGGAGGAAAGTAGAAATAAAGCAAGGAGTGGGTATATCCACAAATTGAATGGATATAATTAAATTTACTTTCACATGGGTAAGTATTTTGTGAATAAGGAGTAATAATTGTATTATTTGTAAAGGACTAAAGATAAATCAGTCCTATTAATTTTTTTTTAATTAACTGAGGACGTGTTTATTGATTTTTAGAGAGAGAGGAAGAAGAGAGAAACATCAATGTGAAAGAGAAACACTGATCAGTTGCCTCTTGTATGTGCCCCAACCAGGGATCAAACCTGCAACCTAGGTATGTGCCCTGATCAGGAATTGAACCCGTGACCTTTGGATGTATGGGTCAACACTCCAACTAACTGAGCCACACTGGCCAGAGCAGTCCTATTAATTTTTAGTTGATAAAGATCATTTTTTATCTTGAACATTATGAATCTCATTTTTCAAAGTCTTTTTTGTTCTTCTCAAGGAAACTGCTTCTGAGATCGTTTCCTTCTAGTACTAATACACCATTCAGAACAGTTTCTCACATGCCAACTTTTGTTGCCATAAATTGCTAAGTACAGGAATGGTTGAGTTTGAATTTGAATTTGAATTTAGCCCAGCCGGTGTGGCTCAGTGGTTGAGCATCAACCTCTGCACCAAGAGGTCATTGGTCCGATTTCCTGGTCAGAGCACATGCCCAAGTTGTGGGCCAAATCCCCAGTGGGGAGCATGCAGGAGGCGGCCAATTGATGTTTCTGTCTCTCTCTTCCTCTCCCTTCCTCTGTCTCTCTAAAAAAAAAAAAAAAAAATCAATGAAGAAAAAAAAAAATTTGAACTCATTCTCTCTTGCTCTCTCTCTCTCACACACACACACTCACATAGTTCACCTTTAGGAGGGATATAAATAAATACTACTTCAATGTAAACCAGTGTGAGAATTGTAGTTGTGTCTTGAGAGAGTTTGTTTCTATTAGGAATGAATAAACAGTGTTATCTAATGAACAGAATAAACTGACAAACAAAATAGATCCAGAGACATGGAAGCAGGGAACAGACTGACAAATCTCAAAAGGAACAGGGGTGGGGAGGTGGGAAGAGACTAACCAAAGAATTTGTATGCACATATGCATAACCGGTGGACACAGACAACAGTGCAGTAAAGGCATTGGGAGGGAGCGGAGTGGAGGGGGTCAATGGGGGGAAAAGTGGGAACAGCTGTAATACTTTCAACAATAAAGATAAATTTTAAAAAGAAAAAAAATATTTTAGAGATGACTTCTTTCAAAGAACAAGCCAGCGACTGCAGATTAACTTGCCTTTCTTCTATACCTAGGGCCGAGGAGCCAGCTCTCATCTCCACTGATCAGGGTTTCACTGAACTGCACTGGCCCTCCCAGCTGGGCACCCTGTCCCCTTCCGCCTTTGCCACACGTTAGATTTGGGTAAGTAGAGGGCCCCCTGGAACCAGTAAAATGGAAGAGTGGGTCATAGGTAGTAATGGAATATACTGAGACCAAAGGATTCCTTAATATTTCCAGAGGCATGAATCACAGTGAGAGAGAGAGAATTCCAGAACCATCAAAGCTTACTCTCACCTTTTAACTTGGATCAGGACCAGCTTACCTGATCCTTAGATATGAATCAGCTTTGACTTATCTTCTTCTTCAGTAGCAACTAGATGGCTGGTCACAACTCTAGAATGTCACTGAGAGAAATTTATTATATGAGTAAATTAATGAAGGTCATAATTTTAATCCAAATTTTCCCATTAACTACGTGTGTGATCTTGGGCAAGTTACAAGTCAATTAAACTCTTTGGACTTTCATTTTTTTATGAATAAGATAAGGTTGTCATCTGGGATTAGTGGTTCTTAATGCATTTGAATCACCTGGAGAGTTTATTTAAAAAAGAAGAAAACTGGGTCAGAGATTCTGATTTAATTGAACTGGGGCAGGCCCAGACATCTCTATTTTTTTAAAGCCCTGCCCCCCTTTCTCTGTACACATACCCAGAAAACACTAATGCCTAGCTAAGATTGAGAATTATTGGGTTAAATAATCATTACTAACTGATTCTAAGATTGTGTCACCTGAAGATAGAAAGCAGGCCCACAGAATTCTTTTTATACATGGCCTTACCCGGTATTACATACACGTAATGGTAACCAAGCCTAATATGCCTTTCTAAGAAGCAACCCAAGTCAAGCAATTTCTGTTTATTCAGGGAAGGCGCTATGCCTCCTCACCAGTTCAGTATTCCCACAATGCTTTGCGAGTTTTCAGCAGTTAGTGCAGTTTGATAGACTGAATCAGGTGTAACTCTGCCTATCCAAGATGATCAGTTGTTTCTAACGGTCCCCAGAGACGATTATCTGTCTTCTCTCGGTATCCATGCCAGTGTTTAATAGCCTATTGAAATTTTCTCCTAGAGGTGATCTGTGACTTGTTGGTGTGGGGGAGAAAGGTGTCAGCAAGGGATAAGGATGATCACCTTGATCGTTGCTGAAATGTGAGCTTCTGTGTCCAAACTGAGATAAAAAAATGATCCTCACACCTTCTCAAGTAGTTGTAGACTATTGAGTTACCAGAACTGGGACAGGAAAAAAAGAGCACATTGTTTACCTTAATCATTTGTTGGGATCTAATCTTGTTGCCGTTACATTATAAATTCTGCTGATGTTGACACTTTGAAAATTATTCATATATATATTTTATCCTCACCTGAGGACATTTTTGCATCTATCTTGAGATAGAGCGGGAGGAAGAGAGAGAGAAAAACATCGATTTGAGAGAGACACATTGAGTAGTTGCCACCCACACGACCCTAACCGGGGTGGGGACAAACTGCAACCGAGGTACATGCCCTAAGCAGGAACCAAAGCCGGGACTCTGGTCCACAGGACAATGCTCTAACCACTGAGCAAAACCAGCTAGGGCATAATTCTTAAAGTATAACTTATTAAATGTAATTCATAAAATTTATTTTTGTTTATCTTACTCTTTCTTTCTACTACTGTCCTTCATATCTCAGACACCTAGCAGAATTAAAAACAGTGTATGTGTGACTGTCAGATCAGTAAAAGAGAGATAGACATGAGTTAACAAAGATGTAAAGAATTAAGGAGGAAACATAGATAAGAGTAAGAAGGCCCATAGATTGCAAGGAGCTACATTTAATTTTTTTTTTCTTTTATCTCTGCTTGGTCTTATAGTTGCTATAAGGTTTATTCTCAAGCTTTCTAAAATTTAGGCAAATCATTGTATCCCACCTAGTATGTGTTTGTAAATGTGGGCCTCTGGCCCATGATTCCTGTGTGTTCTCTGCAGTCTTCCATACATGATGCATGGAATGGTGTCTCCATTGGTCAATTGGCAACCTGGATACAGTTGCTCTAATCCAGCCCTGACCAATCCCAGAGCTTGACTTAATTCTAAATAATGTCTTATGTTGGGGAATATTTTTTCTGGAGTGGAAACCTTTGGAGTCTCAGAGGATCTACCCTTACCTTATGTCAAAAATCTACTGGAAAACTACAGAACCAGCTCAGTCTCCACCTCTCCATTGACCTAGAGCTGGTTCCAGTATTAGATTCATCTCATGTGTTTACTGCTGATCATTGATCCAAATACTTAGTAATATTGGGCACATGGTGTTTTGTTATTTCCAAAGTTATTCTTTCCCTGTTTCTTAAAATGAGTTAAGGTAGGAATAAATATAGTAGGAAAAGATGGTTTTGTCATAATTTTAAGTCTCATGAAAAAATTATTACAGATGTCCAGTAATGTGTTTATGTATAAGCATTTGTCCCCCAACAAATCTAATTTTTGCAAATAGTAAATATAGTCAGAGTTGTTCTGGTCTTTAAGATTATCATTAGTTTGCTCCTTAAATCTTTACTGCTTCAAAACAATTAAATGTTGGAAAATAATTAGGAATGATAAAATTTTCTTAACTAGTTTGTTTTGTTGAACACTGAACAACAATCTCCAAAGCCAGCAGGGTTCTCATTGCTTTCTTGATGCCCTGAAGGTTAGGCTTACCCTTCCCCAGTTAGTCCCAAAACTATCAATCATGAGATAAATTAGTAAAGTTGCACAAAATATTTTCTTGATTTATACTGTAACCCAGACACAAAGTGGTTGCCTTGCTGGTGGGCTTAATTTAGCCTGTTTTGTTGGGCCTCCACATTATTTTATAGAAATATATGTTGGTTTCCAACAATTAAAAAATTTTCAAAGTTTTCATTAAAATGTAATTTCAAGTTCTCTTCAAAAATTGGACGATCTATTTATATGAAGTTCCAGAATAAGCAAAATTAATCTATGGTGATAGAAATCAGAACTGAGGTTGCCTGACCTGGGGGTATGGCAGGGATTGGCTGGGTAGGGACATGGGAGATAATTCTGGATGATAAAAAGGTTCTATCTATAGCAGTCTAAAATGTGTGGCAAAACTCACTAAACTATACACTGATCTGTGCAGTTCACTATATGTAAATTGAACTGCAACATAAAGGACGTTTAGAAATAGAAGCCAACATTCAGTGAGAGCTGAAGAGTAGCTGACCACTTTGGGCTTGGCACATGCTCTCTAAATTGGCACAGACTCACCTGGTTCACTTCAATCATTGTCATTACCTACCTGGACCTTTGTAGGTGGTACTGATGTGTGATTCCTACTGTAGACTGATGGCAGTTTTGTTTTCAACTGTAAATGGAGAGCAAATCTGAAAGGGCCTGATATGCTTAATTGGCAGTGAAGAAAATAGTACAGTATCTGCCTCCTAAGGTTGTATGTGAAGCATGTAACAAAAACAAACCTGAGGGCTTGGATCAGCCAAGCAGCTCACCTACATCCATCTCTCAATTAATTGTGTTCTCAATAAATCTAGGATTCTCAGAGGTCTCTAAACATAACCCTCACTCTTCCTCTCAGATGTTTGCAGACTCCTCCTCTGAGAAAGGAATAGAAAGTACCTCTTACTCATATTATCAGCACTTAAAACTTACTTCTATTATGTTTTTTATGAAAATAATAGTGTCTACTATATAAATACAAAAAGTATAAATAAAAAGAAAATTACCCACAGTTTATTTGCCATTTTGTGGCAAATGCTTTCAAATCCTTCTTCATACATGTATATATTTTATGTTAAAAATGTATTAGTTGATAAAATTTAGCACACAATGTCTCAGTTTGCAAAAAGAAAAAATAACAAGTCATAGATTAAAGATGACAGATTAAGTAAAAGCATTTGCCTTCTCTCTATCCTATAACATTTTTAAATGAATGTAAAATTTTACAAAGACCAGGAAGAGCCCTGGCCTGTTTGGCTCAGTGGTTGGAGCGTCGGCCTGCGGTCTAGAGAGACCCGGGTTCAGTTCCCGCTAAGGGTACGTACCTCGGTTGCAGTTTGTCCCCGGCCCTGGTTGGTCGTGCGGGTGGCAACCACTCGATGTGGCCCTTTCATGTCGATGCTTCTCTCTCTCTCTCTCTCTCTCTCTCTCTCTCTCTCTCTCTCTCTCCCCCTCCCTCCCTCCCTCCCTCCCTCCCTCCCACTCTATCTGAACAAAAAATAGAGGAAAGTCCTCAGGTGAGGATAAAAAACTTAAAAAAAAAAAAAAAAAGACCAGGAAGAACTCCGAAGAGAATGGAATAGGAAGATGTTTGGAGGAAAGTTACTGATGAAACTGAACCAAGAATTAGCACAAATAGACCACCATGAGAATGAGGGTGACCCTCTGGAAAGAAGCTCTAAGCACGGGGTCAGCAAGGACTAGGAGCAGGCATGAGCCGCAGGGACCTGAAAGTAGAGAAATTAATGGGAAGTCTTTATGGATTAGTTAAGGTGAACCAGTGCTTCTAATATGAGTTTGGTATTTTAAGTAAATTATTTCCTCGTTCTGGCATTTGGAATGTGGTGGGCTCCAGCCTGAAGGCCAGCTCTTGCCTCCTCATCTGAAAGTCAACCTAGAAGTCAACAGATCCCACTGGTAAACAAAGCCTCCCAGTCACCATTCCGTTCAGGAAAGGATCCTGTCCTCGGAGCTTATATTGATGATAGTGGAGGAAAATTATGCCAATTAACCATAAAAAGCAATGAAGTCTTTAATTAAAAAAAAAAAAGATAACCTGTCATATGAAGGAGCATGGACAAAAATTAAAAGTTACTAATGCTAGAGGAGATATCATTTATCACAGCTTCAAAAAGAAATCTAAGTACCCTCAAAGTGATTAAAAAAGTATTGCTTCCATATAACAAAAACAGAATTCTATTAAGAAGGAGCAATCAGAAAACAGACAAAAATATCTTGAAATTAAAAAAAACCAAAAACATATTATTAAAATAAAAAACAATTTGTTAGAAGGCTAAAAGATAAAGTCTAAGAAATCTGGAATGCACAACCAAATGTCAAAGAGAGAAAGAATATACATGCCGGA